TCTGGGACTACTTTGGGATCCTAAATTTATGCAGAATTTATTTTTCTGTTAGAATATAATAATGTTTTGTAAATGCTCTTTGTTGTTGACCAGATGGCCAAGCAGTTAAAGTATCAACTTATCTTTCTGAGAATCTGATATCAAATCTAAGCAGTCAAACTCCGGGAAATTTTTGGGAGGTAGTTTGTCCTGGATGTGTTTGGTGCCATTCTTCACCCTCAGCTGTCCATCATGAGGCTAGCCAGACTCACAATGGCCTAATAAAAAATCCTCTTTGTTCCAATCTATCTGAAAGAATAAAAAAAAATGTTCTTTGTTTGCTTTCTTTAACATTAGTTATCTGTATGCAAAATTATATCAAAATTTCTACAAATTAATGAAATTTAACGTGTATGTTAATTAATTATATATATAATTGGTTAATAACAAAATCATTAAAACTAATTTTATTCTAACTGTAAACTCAAAATGTTTTCAAAGTTGTGTGTTGATTATATTTGCAAATGATAACCAAAAACACTTGACATTTGCTTACACTAATTTCTTGATTATTATTTGTTTCTTTTATGTAATAATTGAAATATTTCAATACATTGAATAATTTTTCCTTCAAAATTAACAACTGATAGACTAAAAATGCTTTAAAAATGAATTTAATTATATATTTAAAGAAAACTGATAAAAATAAAATATATGAAAAAACTTTAAGCATAGAAATTTGATAATTTTATGTTTTCCTTGTTAATAATGTTAATAATTATATATGTAACTAACAGATGTTCTCAGCATTGCCCAAGAAAAGTAATAAAGACAAATATTAAAATTAAAACCACATTAAAAGTTTGGTTATTTTAGGTCAACTGAAATCAACAGTGTTATTTTGGCAGATTCAAAAGAAAACATGCTCTTTGAAATCACTAAGAATGTGATTAATTGACTGTATTGCCATCATTAATGGAATGGTTACTTACTATGGAATGGTTCCTTATATAAGGTTATATTAAACTTAAATTATCACAAACTGTAAAGGAATGAAATCAGGGGTACCAGATTTTATGGAAGCTTTCTGAAGATTTTCTTCAAGGTCCTAGAGAGAAACTATGAAAAATTTGGTGCCGATTGGTCAAAGGATTTAGAAGCATATAGAGAACAGATGGACATTCTATTTATGTATTGTATATAGATGATATCCCTTACAGCATACCATGAAGACACATTGGGAATAGAAGTGTAACCCCTCCATTCATAGTAGGTCATAGAAGTGATCAATTTCATTCCAATGCTAATTTTATCCTCTAGAGATTACCCTCCAAGTACCCGTTGGAAAGGAAACTGGATGAGCTTTCACATTTGTAAAAAGCAAACTGTAGCAGTCAGAAACCTGTTGCCTCTGTGATTTGATCTCCACTCATCTTCTCAGTGCAGCATTGCACTACCGTACCAGCTCAATAATAATCAATGCAATCTCAAAAAAATTTGATTAAGATTAAAATCTATTAAATTTATCTATTGAATATATGTATCTACATCTGAATCTACAAACTTCAACTTCATGCTTTAAATAATGAATATATTCATTAGATTCAATTATTGTTAAGCTTTTCTAATATTCCTGATTAAGTGCCATATCCTGGTAAATAAAAATCTTTTTAAATTTTCAAGATAACTCATTTTATTGATAAACAAAGTTCACACAATGATAATTAATAAAATCAACAATTACAGAATAGAAATAAGGCAAATAATGAATTTAGATAATGATATCAATTGTATTCTAATCAGATAGATCTGTAATCTTGATTTATTACATTAGTTTATTAATTCTAATCAAGATAATCATGAAATTTTTTTTTTATTTTAAATACAAGAGATAATATATAAAACTTTACACTTGATATTATCTCTACAAATAAATACATTATAATCAGTTTTACAAGAAATTCGAAAATGTAAATAGAGATTATACATAAACACTTACTGAGCCTAATTATTGATAATCATCTTTGGACTTTAATGGGGCTACTAATTAATTATTTAAACAGTTTAATTTGGTTTAACCACCCACTAACCTTTTAAGCTAAGTTATATTGCTTAAATAAATAATTAGCAGTGTCATTATAGATCAAAGAATCTATAACGACACTGCTAATTAGTAGTAGTAGATCATATTTAAAGGAAAGAAAGTTAATTTACTTTTATAAATAAAGCTATTTTTTCCATTCAGTTTATATAACATGTTTCAATATCAAAATAAGAATTTCAAAATAAACAGAATATTTAAGTTTATTCAAAATAAATTATGTTTGTTTTTCAGAGCAGGTTGTCGCCCTTTTGTATTACTAAATATTTATCTTGTGTATAATAAATATTTTCAATAAATAATTATGTCAGTATTTAATTCAGCTAAAAATAAGAAAAATAAAATTTGTATTTATATGTGTAATGTAATTTAGAAAAGCATTTTGAACATTATTGTAATCAACTATAGTATATTTTTCCATTCTCACTTCTATAGAATGTAATGTAATAATATACAGCGAAGATAAGGAAAACATTTTAATAATTTAAAAATTCTGTGGTGGTATTTTATTGAAGCTTATAATTTGTAAATACTTCAAAGATTTATTTATAAATTAAAATAAATAAAAGGAATCAATTTCTGTTTCCAAGAATGTAATCTCTGTTTATGATACTTGCTTAAAGGGGATTTAGACAGCATACATAAAAACTGCACTACACTCCTGCTTATCCAGCATACTCAATATGATTGCCTATGCATTTCTGTCATGTGACATGACTTGTTTTCTTGTTTACTTGGATTTAATTTCTATCTACAATATTGCAGTTTTAGGACAATCACCCCCTGGACAATAATTTCCAACAAGAACTCCCTGCATAAAAACCTTTCCAGGCAAATAACCGTTCTGTGTAAAAACCCCAGACATGAAACCCCTCTGGAAAAACCCCAGAGAATAAACTCAAACCCAAAATGATGTCATCCCAAAAAATGAAAATGACAAGAACAATAAAGACAAACACCTAAAAAAGTACTTCCAATCAAAACATGTAAACCAATTTTAAATGTCAGTAGATTAAATCAAACATGATGTGCTAATTTCACCCAAACAAATTTTTGGAATAAATGTCTTAAATTGATGACAAAAATGTATTTTTATTAGCACAAAATGGGATTTCTGACAAAATACCAGTTCATAGGCTTAAAAGAATTAAAAATGAAAACAAGTAAAAATCATTGACTTGTCAGGTGCGATAAATCTTTTCTCATATCTAGAAGGTGCCAGTTGACAACAACACATTATCATTTTTCAATAAATTTCTTGCAATGATTGGGCTTATGACAGTGATTTGAAAAGTTTCTCAACCCTATACCTAGAAAGTCTTTGTAAAGAATGGAAGATAAGTAACAAACTGTACAGGTTGGAGGAAGTAAATTATCAATGGAAAATTTACTGTCCAGTCAGGTTTAGTTTGGAGAGGAATGCTACCATCAGGGTTCCCAGCACAGCTGCTAAAGAAATAAAAATTTACTGGTCCATATTTAAGAGTCTAACTTAATGCACTTATCACATTTCCCTTATAGCTTCAAAGGTTCTTAATTAATGAGCAAGTCAAACTTATACTCTTAATTCAATAAAAAGTCTTTTTTCTGTGGAAACACATTAATACAGTAAATAATATTAAATAATATCCTTTTTAAATTTTGAGGGTTTGGCTTTTATTTTTATATGGAGAGTTTTTAATATGGTGATTTTTATCCAGGGGTTATTGTCAGAAGGTTATATTCTGGGCAGTTTTTACACAACACGGTTTTTATCCAGGAGGTTATTGTATTGTTATGCAATATTGTATGTCAATTTTCTGCATTATTTGCCTGCTTGCATCCAAAAAGAACTAATACCAAAAGGTGACAGGTCACATCATTTATTGTCTTTAGGCAGTCTTTTTCTTGATATTCTCAGATGTTCTTGTTGACCTAGTACCCCTCTGTGCAAGGAATAGTCAGATTAGCAAGACTCTAGTGTACTTAGCTCATCAATTTTATTGTTTATGCTGTGTGTGTGACCATACATGCGCATTAGTGAGCCATCCGATTTCAGAAACTAGGTGGCTGAGGTGGTTAATGCATCAGTCTAATACTCTGGGGACACAGAATCAAATTTCAATCAACTAGGAATTCTTTCATGGGTAGTGTATTAAGCCAGATAAGCAGGAGTATAGCAGGGATGTCTCATGGTTAAGTTGGGCCCTATTCCTTGCCATCCAGTTACCCTCATTGTGAGTTTGGCTGAATCCATAATAATTATGGAAAAAAGACTCTTGTAGTGCCTGTAGAACAGAGAAATAAAAAGACCAAAAATAAAGAAAACAGCCTGTTTCCTTTAAGATCAGTATCATAAACACAACATTACATTTTTGGGAATATAGTTTGAGCTATATAATAGTACTATGAGATGGCCATCAAAATAGAATAACACAATCCTCATAGAATGCAAAGAGTGACATGTTTTTTTTACAATCAGAAATTTCAGCATTTTACTTACATTTTTAAAATAATGGCCAGATTTTACAGAGTATTTGAAGAAAAATGTAAACACTTTTGTGGAGAAGGTGTACATTCACTATGGCAGGAATAGAAAGGCTGTACTTTTTTGAGAATGCCACAATTCGGTTGTGACTTGCATATGCCAAGGATATTCTGCCACTATAAATCTGCCATAACAAGTCACATCCATATTAATGTTAACATTTTTTGAAGTATCCTTTACTATAAACATATTAAATATTTGTAATAAAGGGTTCATTACCTATTAGAGAATGTAATGTGGAATTGGATCTACGTTTCAAATTATTGTATTTTTCATGAATTTCAGATAAGTTATATTTATTATCTCTATTGCTTTGCAGAATATTACATTTTCATTATTTATGATTTATAAATTTCATAATTACAAAGAGTAACATCCAATAAATTTTTCTAGGTATGGAATCGAAATATCCGGAGGATTGGGCCCAACGGCTGGACATGTCTGGAGAATTGGTTTAATGGGTTATAATTGTAAAGTGGAAAATGTCAATTTTGTTTTGAATGCTTTAAAAGCAGCACTAAATCAAAATGAAAACAAATTGTAATTAAAAAGCAATTTTAACTTCGGTGATTTAATTTTAAATTGTGAGAACTTTTCCATAATATGGACCAGAATAACAAAAGAAAATGAAATTCCTTTAATCTGAATATCTTTTTGTATTAGGTTATCTGTGATTATTTTATATTTACACTCTTTATATATAAGTTTATTTAATTAAAATGTGGTGGAGGAGGTTTATATTTTGATGATTTGTTGTTATATTATTAGAAAAAAATTAAATTTTTAATTATTAAAAAAAATTATAAAAATTTTGTTAAAAAAATTCAAATGACTGTGTTTTTGGACACAAATTTGTGATATTTAAAAAAATTAATTAATAAAATGTTATATA